TAATTTTTGTATTTTTTATAGAGATGGGATTTTACCATTTTTGCCAGGCTGGTCTCAAACTCCCAATCTCAAGTGATCCACCCACCTCGACCTCTCAAAGTGCTGGGATTACAAGTGTGAGCCACCATGCCTGGGGAGGGGATGTTTTTGAATGCATCAGTTCTGATTTTAACTCCCAGGAAATACAAATTTCTAGGAGTTAAAATCATAAAAAACAAATTCTACAAAGAACTTGAAAGATGTTCTTTCAGGCTGGACATGGTAGCTCTTTCAGATCGTCCCTCTGCAAGAAAGGGTAAGTTTGACAACTGGGTAAGTTTTCTTCGTTTGTTTTCCTTGCTTTTGGGCATAGTCCGTCAGGTCAGAAAGTGGATGTATTTTTCTCCCCATAGCTCTGTGCTCAAGCCTTGGAGAGGGAGACAGCCAAGAGGAAGCCTGCCTACAAGCAGCACAGGTAGGTCATTGTGATGGATTATTTTTTCTTTTTAAAAGAGTCAGAATCTCACTCTTTCTCTCAGTCTGGAGTACAGTGGTGCAGTCTCAGCTCACTACAATCTCCAATTCCTGGGTTAAAGCAATTCTCTGCCTCAGGCTCCCCAGAAGCTGGGATTACAAGCATGCAGCACCACACCTGACTAATTTTGTAATTTTAGTGGAGACAGCGTTTCTACATGTTGGTCAGGATGGTCTCGAATTCCTGACCTCAGGCGATCTGCCCACCTCAGCCTCCCAAAGTGCTGGGATTGCAGGTATGAGCCACCATGCCCAGTTGTGATGGTCACTTTTAAGAATGTTTTTGTTTTAAGATGAAGCTTTGAGTGTCTAGTAAAGAACGTGGTGTTTTAATTCTTCATCAAGTCAATTCTTTCTCTGTTTTCTATATGGGAAAGGAGGAGAAAGCAGAGAGTGCCAGAGAGATACATGAGTGAGGAGCCAGCCCAGAAACGCCTGTGCTTAGAGAATGTTTTCTGGAGAGGTAGGAGCTCCCATGAAGGCAGCCGCTTAATTTCTGCTGCCCAATCCACACACCCCGCTTCTCTTTTTTGGGGGTGAGGGCTCAGGTGGGGTAATTGTCATATTTCCTGGAAACAGTTCCAAGCACTTATAAAGAGAACAGTTGTCCTGTTGGGTAACAGGGCCCCATTTTTCTCAGGTGCCCTAGCTGAATAGCTCTTGGCTGATCCCCTGTGAATGGTGCAGTTCAGGCCTCTCCACTGACTGTGGACATTGCCTCACCCTGACGTCTTGGTTACTTTTAACTGCAAAGATAAGCCTGCAAGGCAAATGGGCCAGCTCCCCTTCCCACCTTGAGTCAGTGTGAAGGCTTTATTTTTCTTTCATTTGAGAAAAGTCACAACAATAGCATTTTAGAATGGGAGCTGTAAGTGCTGATGAGAGCAGAGATTTTTGGGCAATGTCTTCATGGATCAATAAGGCAGTATGAGGTCTGCTTTAAGAAAAGAATCATTTATTTGCACTTTTTGCAACTTCCTTCATTCTTTTTACTTGTTTAAATTGTTTATTGTGAATTATATAACTTCTTTAGTAAGCTAAATATCTGTGTAATCTTACTCCTCTAACATTTGAAGTATGACCCTAAAAACTTTCCTTTCTTTCTTCTTTCTTTCTTTCTTTTCTTTCTTTCTTTCTTTCTTTCTTTCTTTCTTTCTTTCTTTCTTTCTTTCTTCTTTCTTTCTTTTTCTTTCTTTTTCTTTCTTTCTTTTTTCTTTCTTTCTTTCTTTCTTTCTTTCTTTCTTTCTTTCTTTCTTTCTTTCTTTCTTCTTTCTTCTTTTCTTTTCAAAAACCTTGCTCTGTCACTGAGGCTGGAGTACAGTGGTGTGATTTTTGCTCACTGCAACCACTGCCTCCCAGGTTTAAGCAATTCTCCTGCCTCTGCCTCCCAAGTAGCTGGGACTACATGTACCTGCCACCATGCCTGGCAAATTTTTTCATTTTGTATTTTCAGTAGAGACAGAGTTTCACCATGTAGACCAGGCTTGCCTCTAACTCTTAACCTCAAGTCATCTGCTCATCTTGGCCTTCCAAAGTGCTGGGATTATGAGTGTGAGCCACCCAGCCTCCATTTAATTTCTGTAACTCTGACCTTTTCTCATGACTGTTAATCTCTTTATGTTCATTTCTGTTCACATATGGAGGATAGATTCACTACAAATCCACAGAATTTTAAATGCCCCTATAGCTTGAAGAAAAGGAGCAGTGCTGCTCCTGTCCTGGGCCTATAGATGTTCTTCCCATCCATGGCTGTTTCTATTTTAATCTGGAGTCTGTGATCACATGATGGGTGATTTCCTTTGATGTGTACTGGGAACCCCTGATTTCAAGCTCCTTTCCAGCTGGTTAGAGCCTGGCCTGTCCACAGCGTGTTGAGAGTTAAGAAAACCCCTGGACCAGGGATCTGCAGTATCTTCCTCAGGGCTGAGGCCCAGAGGGCTCCAGGGTCCTCTGAGGCATCTGACCAATAAACTCTGTGCCTCTGGTGAGGGACATGAGTGTGGCAAAGAGAGTGAGGTGGCAGCGGAGGGCGTGGACGGTTTCTTATTCGGCACAGAACATGCAAGCCAGATTTAGCCCCATTCCCTTCTCTGGCCCTTAACAGATTCAGGACCTCATTCAGTTCCCATGAGCAACAGCAGCTGTGTCCCAACTGAAAACATGGAGAAGACAAAGGTAAATGCTGGGGTCATTTTCACTCTGCCTGTATCAGGACACTGTCGTCTTTTCCTCCACCAGTCTCTCCTGGCCTGGCCTCTGCTCTATGGGATCTGTGATACCTTTTCTGTCTGGACTTTTTCAGAAGCAACATCTTCCCCATAAGCTTTCTGGTTTCTCCATCCCCAGCTAGTCATCTTGGGTGACACCTACAGTAGCCATAAATGCTTAGGGACTGAGGGCTGAAGGGCTTTTTACTGTTCTGTTTCCAGAAATAACATGAGGAATGCCACCGACTTCCACCTCTGCAGGTCTCACGGCCCAGTGAACTCTGACTGATCTCTCTTACTCAAGGTGTTGTGGGGACTATTTCAGAAATATATGGGGTTTTATTTTGCTGTGATTTTGTTTGTTTTCTTCTATAAGGTAAATGATTAACATTTGAAATATCTTCTGTATTCCCAGAAGTGACAAGTGAAAACTCATTAATCCAACATTAATAGGTGCTTTGTGCAGTTTTGAATGCTCTTCAACAAGGTCAATTCCATAGTTCATCACAGTCCCATTCCTGTTGTTAACTGTGTTGTGCAAAAACCCACCTTCACCCCCTTCAGTGTTGTGCCCTGATCTAATATTCTAAGTGTCAGAGTTTCTGTACTTGTAATAGAAAATATGTCTTGACTGTGAGTTAGTGAAAGTGAATGTAACATATTACCCACAGCGACGATTCCCAATGAAGGCCTTAAATGATGCTCAGCTCTGCTGGTTCTTGTGTTGGCCTCTGTACTTACAACAGCTGCTGAGGCTTATGATTACACATGATGAGAACTGTACACTTGAAATTAAACATATTTCTAAAACTTGCTTTTTTCAGAATCATCCCTCATTTTTCCATGTACAAAAATTATTATTTATGTCATAATGCATTTTAATTTGTATAGCCTGGGCATTCAAAGAAATATTCTAGCTGTGCCTAACTGACTTCTGTATGTCGGATTGTTCTGTCAGAAAACTTTCTCCCAGTTCCCATGAATGTCTTCAGGAACACACATTTCCCCAGAGCCATTTGTGCTGACAGGGCCACCCCCAGAGTGAACAAGACCCTTTGTCAAGAAGGGAAGTAGAGAGGAAATGAGAGGGTCCTGTAGGCAGGCAGAGCTGGAATCAACTCCCACTCTGCCTCCTGCAAGCTGTGTGACCCTGGGCACATGCTCTTCCTCGGGGAGCCTCTGTTTTCTTCTATTTGGAGCAGGTGGTCACACTGACTTGCAGAGTTCTGAGAATCAGAGACAGAACATAAAAGTCCTGGAGAACATTCTCCAAAAAGAAGCTTCAATGCATGTGTGGACAATGCACTTTTCATGCCTCTCTTACTTGCTGTTTATCTGATGCAAGGAGCACGCTCTGGTGATGGTGGTGAGGGAGGAATGAAGATAGACATAGACACTCTCGTGTCAGAAACGTGCTTCTTCCTTACTGTGCTATGACTCTGTCTCCCCTGGGGTAGGCCCCCCACCTGCCGATATTTGCAGACAAACACAATGGCATGTGGAGAAAACAGTTTTTCCCAATGACTTTTCTTCACTTCCAAGCTGTCGGTAGTACTTAGTGGAAGGGTGACTTCATGATACTGATGTGCTACTTTGAAACCTGGAGGATGGAAAGGTGCAAAAACTATCAGCAGCAACATAAGTTTCAGCCTGTGTTGTTGATGGTGGTTCTGTTCATCAAATTAATACATCTCACAACACTTCCTCCTTCTGCCTGCAGGTTTACATGGCTGCTGCACAGCATCATCATTGCTCAGAATTGCCCTCCTCACACTACCTCATGGCTGATCCTTCAAGGTCACTGATGGCTTGCCACCTCCTCCATCTGGGTGTCACTTGGGAGCTCAACCATTTTCATTAGTTAAAGGTGTTCTGGGACCTCTGACAACTCATCAACTCCAGTGTCTTCTAGGACCTCAGCCACCTTCTCCAGCTGACAATTTTTGGGAACCACAGACACCTACACATGAATGTCTTCTGTTACCTCTACCACCCTTAGCCAATGATTTTCTGAGTCCATACACAACTCCACCTGAGTGTCTTCTGGCACCTCTACCACCATCTACAGATGATAATCTTTGGAGACCACAGACACCACTAGTCCAGTGTCTTCTGGTACATATACCATTGTCTCCAGCTGATGATTTTCTGAGACCACACACACCATCCATTCAGTGTCCTCTGGGTCCTCAACTACTTTCACTAACTAATAATTTTTTGAGATTACAGGTAGCTCCACCATTTGAGTATCCCTTCAGACCTCAACTACCTATTCAATAGAGTGTCTTCTGGTATCTCTTCACTTTCTTGGTGATTTTCTGAGACCACAGACACCTCTACCTGAGTGTACTCTAGTACCTCTACCTCTGTCTTCAGCTGAAGATTTTCTAAGACCCAACTTACCTCAATCTGAGTGTCTTCTGGTATCTCTACCACCATCGCCAGCTGAAGATGTTCTGAGGCCTCACACACCTCCACTTGAGTGTTCTCTGATACCTCTACCACCATCTCAAGCTGAAGATTTTCTGAGACCACAGGCAACTCCACCACTTGAGTGTTTTCTGGAACCTCAACCTCCTATTTCACTCACGTGTATTCTGGGACTTCAACCACCTACTTCACGTGAATGTCCTGTGCCACCTCAATCATCTTCTCCAAGTGAAGATTCTCTGAGACCACAGTCACCTCCTCCAGTCAAGTGCTCTCTGGTACCTCCACCATCTCTCCAGCTGGTGATCTTCTGAAACCACAGACATTTCCAGCAATTGAATGTCCTCTGGGACCTCCTTCATGTCTTCCAGCTGTTTGTTTTGTGGGATCTCCACCATCTCCTCCAGCTGCATCTCCTATGGGACTTCATCCACCTCATTCACCTGTCTATCCTGCTGTACCTCAGCCACCTGATCCTATCTGTCCTGGGGGACCCCATCCACCTCATCCCTCTGTGTGTCCTAGGGAGCCCCATCCACCTCATCCCTCTGTGTGTCCTAGGGGACCCCATCCACCTCATCACCCTATGTGTCCTGGGGGACCCCATCAACCTCATCCATATGTCTTTCCTGGGGGACCCCATCTGCCTCATACCTCTGTGTGTCCTGGGGGACCACATCAACCTCATCCCCCTCTGTATCTTGGGGGACTGCACCCACCTCATTCATCTGTCTTTCCTTGGGGACCCCATCCACCTCATCCAGCTGTATTTCCTTTTGGACCTTACCTTCTTCCTCCAGCAGTGTGGCATCTGCGTCCTCAGCCTACTTGTCCACTTAGTGGCCACTGGCACCTCAGCCACCTTCTCTACCTTGGTGGCCTCCCTTAGCTATCACCTTCGAATGAGTCTCCTTTAGTACCTAAAGAATCTCCTCATGACCTCTCAGCTCTCCTTCCCCTAGGTCTTCTCTAGTACTTCAGTCACCTCCTTCACGTGGCTGACCTGCTGACACTCAGCCTTCACCTGACTTGGCCTCAGACTTTACCCCCTCCTCTACTAATGTGGCCTCTGACACCTCGACCAACACCTGTAAATGCACCACTTGATGTGTTGATTTGAATGATATAAAGTAATTTGTAAAAAAAATTCATCTCTTCTTTTTTTGAGTGAATAAAAAGAAATGTCACAGATGGTTCTGAGGGCTTTGCAGTACAAGGTAACACTGGCTGAGATCTTGGTCATTTTTCACAAGTTTCTGAGAGTAATCAGGCCATTGCATTATTTCCTCATCATGAGTTTGGCAGCAGATATCTCTTGTAGATAGAGGCAGATTTTTTATTTTTTTGTGGGGACAGAGCCTCACTGCATCAGCCAGGCTGGAGTGCAGTGGTGCAATCCTGGCTCAGTGCAACCTCCATCTCCAGGCTTCAGGTGATCCTCCCACCTTAGCCTCCAGAGAAGTGGCTGGGACTAGTCACATACCACCACATTTGGCTCTTTTTTATTTTTATCTTTATGTTTTTTGAGACAAAGTCTCACTCTGTTGCCAGGCTGTAATGCAGTGGTGTCATCTTGGCTGACTGCAACCTCTGACTCTTAGGTTCAAGTGACTTTCCTGCCTCAGCCTCCCAAGTAGCTGGGACTACTGGCCCATGTCACCATTCCCAACTAACTTTTTGTATTTTTAGTAGAGATATGGTTTCATCATGTTGTCCAGGACAGTCTTGATCGATTGATCTCATGATCTGCCCGCCTTGGCCTCCGAAAGTGCTGGAATTACACACATGAGCCACACTGCTCATCCTTTCTTTCTTTTTTCTTTTGAGATGGAGTCTCGCTTTGTCACCCAGGCTGGAGTGCAGTGGTGCGATCTCAGATCTTAGCTCACTGCAACCTCTGCCTCTAAGTTCAAGTGATTCTTCTGCCTCAGCTTCCTGAGTAGTTGGGACTACAGGTGTGTACCACCACACCTGGCTAATTTTGGTATTTTTAGTAGAGACAGGGCTTCACCACATTGGCTGGGCTGGTCTCGAACTCCTGACCTCAGGTGATCCACCCACTCTGGCCTCCCAAAGTGCTGGGATTACAAGTGTGAACCACCGTGTCTCTCTCTCTCTCTCTCTCTCTTTTTTTAAACTTTTTGTAGAGACCATGTTTCACCATGTTGCACAGGCTGGTCTCAAACTCCCAGAATTTATTCATGTCATCTGCCAACTTAGGTTTTCCAAAGTGCTGTGATTACAGGCATGAGCCACTAGCCCAGCCAGAGATTGTGTATAGAAGCCAGAAATAGCAGTGTTGCAGGTGTGTATAGAACCTGGGCTGTTTGGCCATCTCTGTGAAGGATGACACCCATCCCTGACTTGAAGGGTGTCCTGTGTCCTCCAATAGAGAGATCCACACCAAAGGGCACAGAGCTTGTGACCACCCACAGTGGAAGCACAAGTGAAGGGACTCAGTGTGCAAAAGAAAGAGACTGAATCTCCTGAGAATAAACAGGAGGCTGTGGAAGAGAAGGCTGCAGCGGGTTGGTGTCACTGGGGGGTTTGTGTAACTCAGGTGGAGCTGCAAGGCATTGTGAGCAGGAGCATGGAGGCTGCATGAGGGCCCCACAGAGCCACCATGGAAGAGCTTGGATGGCCAGGTGTGCACAGGGAATTATGGCCTTACTTAGTTATCTGTAGGAATGATGATTCCTTCCCTGGATGTGTGAAGGCTCTTGATCAGGGTGAACAAATGCTTAGCGCTCTGGGAAATTTATCTTTGTTCTATCAGTGGGCACTGTCTCCCCTAGATCTTATGGCCCCAGGATACTAACAATGAGGATGGGTCTGGTTTATTGGAGCTGTGGCCTTGGTCTTCAGAATCATGTCAACTCTGGTAGGGAACTCAAGGCCAATCCTGAGCTGTTCCGGCATCACCCTATCCCCAGCAACCTCTCTCTCCCCTGAAACTCCCAGCTTTGCATCTCCCAACCTCGGCCTGCAAAATCCTCCCCCCTTCGCTGTGTCCCTGCTGCCTGGGCTCAGACACAAATTCTCAGTGGGGCTCAGAGTTCCGGCTTTCTGAGAAATGAGCTGGGACTGATGTGGTTATGAGCTCATGGTGGATTGCTTGAGGTCCACCTGTCACCCTGCATGCTTTGTTGGCATCTTACAAGAGAGGAAACAGAAAGGAGGCAGAACAGTATGTTGGCAAATAGTATTGGCAAGTAGGAGTATGCCTTACAAATCTCATAAGAAACAACAAGGAGGGATGATTATTCTTAAATCCGCATCATCAGTTCACACAGAATTCCACTGTGGAACTGCTTGTTTGCAAGTGAAATCTCCGACACAAGAGGTTCTTCTGTGTTCTCTGTGAGATGCTGAGTTCCTAGGTTACTGAAAACATCAGGAATCCAGGGAACAACATACTTATATTGTGCTCAACTTTGAAAAATATAATAGATATTGACATTTAAAAATGAATAAGAATAATAAGTACGGCACCAGGACTTTCAAGTCTTGAATTCTAGTTGCAATTCTACCATTCTAATATGTATGTGTGTAGATGGATGGATGGATGGATGGATGGATGGATGAATGGATGGGTGGGTGGATGGGTGGAGGTTGGTTGGTTGGGTGGATAGATGAGTGGATGGATGAATGAGCAGATGAATGCATGGATGGATGGATGGATGGATGAAGGGTTGGGTATGTAGATGAATGGGTGGATGGTTGGGTGGGTGGATGAATGGGTGGATGGATGGATGGATGGATGGCTGAATAGATATAAAGACATAGATAACAGCTTTATCAAGATATGATTCACACAATTCTACTATTTCTAAGCCTCAGTTTTATCTATAAAATATGAAAGATTTTTATGTGCCTGACAAAGAAAAAAGGAAGACTGACCCATTCTCCTTGCCTGTTCTATTTTTTTCCATACCACTTATTTTTTTTTTTTTACCTTGGTTAGCATCCCTTTATTAGTGTTTTGGGTTTTGTTTTAATTACCCGTGGTTGTTGGTAAGTCAGAAGACTCCATTCCATGCTTATTCAGCTATAGCTGTGTGATGATTAAGAGCAAGTCCCTAGAGCTCTCTAAGCTTCAGTTTCCACATCTGCGGTATTTGACTAACAATAATTTTCTATCACTGTTTCCATACCACTTATAATCTTGTTTTTAAATGGTAGTTTTTAAAACTGATTCATTTGAAAAATCCACTTGGATAAAAGACCCGACCTCTTGATCATGTTGTTATCTATAGTTTATTTCCTAACAGCTTTATTGAGATAAAATTATATGCTATAAAGGCTGGGAGTGGTGGCTCTAATCCCAGAACTTTGGGAGGCCATGACAGGTAGATCACTTGAGGTCAGGAATTCGAGAACAGCCTGGCCAACATGGTGAAACCCTGTCTCTACTACAAATACAAAAATTAGCCTAGTGTGGTGGCGCATGTCTGTAATTCAAGCTACTTGGGAGGCTGAAGCAGGAGAATACCTTGAACCCCTGAGGCAGAGGTTGCAGTGAGCCAAGATTGTGCCACTGTACTCCAACCTGGGCAACAGAGCATTACATATAAATGAAATATTTACATTCTGAACATCTAATATAAATGGGATCACACACTGTGGCCTTTTGCCTGACTTCTCTCACTGGGTGTGATTTTGGGGGGTTCATCTGTGTTGTAGTGTGTATGCAGTGAGGTTTTCAATGCTCCTAGACTTAGCAAAACCCCTTGTGTGCAGGGCCTAGAGGAGCTAAATCAAGGCATTGTTTCCTTACTGCTGCCATCATCTGACATGAGAGGAGGGGCCAGAGTCAAAGAGTGGAGGTGGGAATGATGCAGGAAGATCCAGAGACACATGGAAGACCCCAAGATCTGTAAGAAATGAGACCTGGGGGGCCAGGGCGGTGGCTCCCGCCTGTGATTCCAGCACTTTGGGAGGCCAAGGTGGGTGGATCAGTTGAGGTCAGGAGCTCATGACCAGCCTGGTAAAAATGGCAAAACACCATCTCTGATAAAAATACAAAAAATTAGGCCAGGTGCAGTGGATCATGCCTGTAATCTCAACACTTTGGGAAGCCGAGACAGGCAGATCACGAGGTCAGGAGTTTGAGACCAGCCTGGCCAACATGGTGAAACCCCATCTCTACTAAAAATACTAAAATTAGCCAGGTGTGGTGGTGCATGCCTGTAATCCCAGCTACACAGGAAGCAAAGGCAGGAGAATCATTTGAACCCAGAGGCAGAGGTTGCAGTGAATTAAGATTTTGCCACTGCACTCCAGCCTGGGTGACAGAGCAAGACTCTGTCTCAGAAAAAAGAAAGAAAGAAAAAAAACAAAAACAAAAATTAGCCAGGCACAGTGTCAGGCACCTGTAGTCCCATCTGCTTGGGAGGCTGAGACAGGAGAATCACTTGAACCCAGGAGGCTGAGCTTGCAGTGGGCTGAGATTCCACCACTGCATTCCAGCTTGGGGTAGAGAGGGAGACTGTCTTAAAAGAAAGAAAAGGAAGGACACTTTGGGGTCAGCTAGCACCAAGGCTGGCCAGGGATGGTCAATGTCACACCTGAGCACCTGGGCTGACAGATGCAACCATCAAGTCAAAGCAAGGAGGTCGGGGAGGAAAAGAAGCCAGTTTCCCCAGAAAGACGACCACCCGGTAGGGTCCGGGGTGCAATCAGCAAGCCCTGGTGTGCTGGGTCTGAGGACTTGGTAGACTCAAACCAGGACAACCCCGAGCAACCCAGGTCAGGCTGGTCACCCTGAGTACAGAGTTCCCAAGGAGTGGGCCAAGGTTTGATGCATCAGCAGGTGGTTTGTAATGAAGGTCAGAGGAGGATGGAAAAGTAATATGGCCCCTGACTGACAGGAGAGAGTTCTGCGGGGCCAGTGTCCAGGGCTCCTGCCCTTTTCCCAGCTGGGGGAAACAGGCCCTTTGACTGCCCTGCCTGGCCCTGTGCAATTCACCAGCTGTTGACTTTAAAAGGAAAACAAGCCTCATGATGCGTGTTTAGGTCTGTTTACTACCTGTCACTTTGTTGAGAGACGAGTCAGGATGGTTTATCTCAGTGTGACTTTTTAATCTGATATCTTTCAGGCTGTCCCCAGGGAGCTGGTGAGGATGTAAAGGCCAGTTGTAATTTAGCCAGACTCTCCCAGTGGACAAACAACACTCTCATCAGGCCCATGCTACCCTCTCATTCCCTCATTAAGCTTAGGGAGATAGTTTGTGCTGGAGTGACCCACTAGGTTTCTAAGCAGCCTGTGAAGCACCCTATTTCTGCTGCACAAATTGTGCCTGGGAATGTTTTATGTCACATCAGGCTGTTTGTAAATACAGAGATGTTTTTTTCTTCTCTTGCTTCAATCTGGATGCTTTTTACTTCATTTTCATGTCCAGTCACCCTGGCTTGAACTTGCAGTAACAATAATGAATGGAAGCAGTGAGAGCAGCCACACTTATCTCATCCCTGTTCTTTATTTATTTTCTTTATTTAGGTTCTGGCTGTGTCTCCCAGGCTGGAGTGCAATGGCAATGATCTCAGCTCCCTACAACCTCTGCCTCCCAGGTTCAAGCAATTCTCTTGCCTCAGCCTCACAAGTAGCTGGGACTACAGACACCTGCCACCACGCCCGGCTGATTTTTGTATATTTAGAAGAGATGGGGTTTCACTATGTTGCCCAGGCTGGTCTCAAACTCCTAACCTCTCAAATGATCCACCCGCCTCAGCCTCCCAAAGTGCTGGGATTACAGCCTTGAGCCACTATGCCCAGCCTTAATTTTTTTACAGACTCTGTCACCCAGGCTGGAGTGCCGTGGCATGATCACAGCTCACTGCAGCCTTGAACTCCTGGACTCAAGCGATCCTCCCACCTCAGCCTCCCAAGTAGCTGGAACTACAGCTATGCACCACTGTGCCTGGCTAATTTTTAAATTTTTGCAGAAATAGGATTTTGAACTCCTGGACTCAAGCTATCCTCCTTCACTGGGCTCCCAAAGTTCCAGAATTGTAGACATGAGCCACCAAGCCTGGCTCTGACTTATTTTTAATTTTTTGAGACAGAGTTTTGCTCTTTTGCCCCAGGCTGGAGTGCAGTGGTGCAATCATGGCTCACTACAACCTCCAACTCTCAGGCTCCAGTGATCCTCCTGCTTCAGCCTCCCAAGGAGCTGGGACTACAGGTTTCCTTATATACTTTTTTCTTTAACATCATTACCTCAATGCAGATCATTACTCAAACAATAAAAGGAACAGAAAATTCCTTGGGGGATGATTCTGAGGAACTGTCAAAGGGAACAAATACTAATTTAAAAGATCAATGGGAAATAGGTGATGCTGATTATCAATATTGTCAGAACAATCAGTAACTTGGATAACAATCTTTAATTAACTAGAAGTCACAAGCTCGGCAGTAAACCGTGCATCTGCGAGAGAGAAGGACCACAGGGGAGGTCACTAGGTTGAAACAATGCCTGGTAAACAAAGTCTTAAGGAGAAGCAACGCAGGATTGAGTATAAATAGTCTGATTAGCGGGATAAGATAAACTACGGGAACCGGCATGAACAAAGGTAGGAGATAAGGATACAAACAGCTTCCAGAGAAAAGCGTAGGCTTTGCCAGAGAAGGTAGTGTAAATGGGAGTGCTCCAACCATCAGGTGTTTCATAACAAGCTAAGGCAATGTCAAGAGGATGAAGAACAGACCAGTTATACAAGGAGAAACCAGAAGGCAGGGTGTAATTAATAGCTTGCTTTTGGTTAGGAAAACAGAACTGCCAGTGAGGGGAAGTGTCCAAAGAGGAGTTAGAAGGTCAACAATGCCAGTGCTCAATGAGGGGAAAATGCTGAGCAGAGGAAAAGTTGTAAGTTTCTCTAATTCCCACATGGTTGAGTATCCAATCACGAGAATAAATGGTCTCACCTGGGAAGAGGTCAGAGGGGCCAGAAAAGGTATGAAGTTGGCAAATTCCAAGATCGAAGCAATAAGAACTGGAAAAAGAAAGAGGAATAGAAGGAGGAGAATAGACATTAGCAGAGGAATCACGATCCCAGATTTTGGAGGCATAGAAGCACATGGGAGGGGCAACAGCTTGGGCAGAGTAAGTATAGGTAGCAACCTGAGGAGTAATGTGAGAAAAAGAAAAGAAGCCAAGAATAAAAGTATCATTAATGTAGACAGGGAAGGTGGGATCATTCCAGGTAACAGGTCGAAGAAAAGGAGGGTCGGGAACATAAGCCCACATAACACGAGAATTAGGGAGAGGGAAGGCCTGTGCCAAATGACAAGACAATATAGCTATTATAGCAATAAACATAACAGTAGGAGAATGGGATTGTCCGGAAGATGCGACCAGGGCAGCTGCTTCAGCAGTCAGACGGTGCATCTGGGCCCACATCGGCAGGGGGCTGCCTCGTTGCGGAGTCTAGAAGTTCGCTAATTGAGCTGCTTGACGAGTCCCACGGCGGTGGTGAGGCGGGGGTAGCGTCAGCCAGAGACGATGAAAACGGGGTATCAGGGCGTTTGCACTGCCTGGTGGAGAATTCATGCTTGACAAGGTGTTCAGGAGCCCAAATTGGAGAGGAAGCAGACCTGGGAAAAATACAAACATGTCCTCATCCCCATATTAGGACTGGATCTGGAGCATGCCATTGGTTAGTGAGAGCATCTTTCCACAAGACCTGGGGATGAGATACATTATTAGGGTGCCAATGACGATCCGTTGTGGGAGTCCATCAGCATCTAAAGTTAAGACATTAAAAACGTAAACAGCATGTTTAAGCCAAGTGTGAGGGGTTTTATGTAGTAAGTCAGAAATCAGACCATGTTTTAATTTGTGTAGTAAATTTTCCAAAACAGCACGGCTTTTTTCGATGATGCCTTGGCCTTGAGGATTAAAAGGAATGCCTGTATGGTGAGAAATCTGAAAATGAGAGCAAAAGGAAGCAAATTTTTTGCTGGTATAAGCAGGTCCATTGTCTGGCTTCAGGATTTTAGGTGGGCCAATAATAGAAAAAACGGTTAGGCAATGTGCTACAAAATCCTTAACTGCTTCTCCAGCATGAGCGGTAGCAACTACAAAATGAGAAAAAGTGTCAATGGAAACATGTACATATTATAATTTACCAAAGGGGGGAAAATGAGTAACATCCATTTGATATACATGACCAGTTTGCAGTCCTCGGGGATTCACCCCATAGTGGCAAGCAACAGGCAAGTAAGGCAAACAGGCTGTGCATTGTTTAACAATTTGGTGGGCCTGTTCTCTGGTAATCTGAAATTGCAATCACAGACTGTGAGCATTCTGAAGATGCAGGGTGTGAGAAGTCTCAGCCTGCTGTACAGGGGACAGAACAGGAAAAATACACTGAGTGAGCTGATCAGCTTGAGTGTTGCCCTCAGTTAGAGGACCTGGCAGGGAGGAATGGGCTCTGATATGACCAATGAAAAAAGGATGCAATCTGCGGTGAAGTGTCTGCTGTAAGAGGAGCAAAAGATGAATTATAGAAGAGGAGTCAGAAAAAAACAAAGGGGCTGTTTCCAGATTTTGAACCAAATTAACAACATATTGACTATCAGAGTAATATTCAAAGGGACATCCCAATTAGTCAGGACATGTTGAACTGCCAGGAGCTCCATGCACTGAGTGGAGTATTCTGGGGTCTGAAACCAAAAAGGGTGTGTGTTAACAGTGCCTGCAGCAATACCAGAAGAGGAGCCGTCAGTAAAGGCTAAGCATGCTTCAGATAATGGTGACTTGAGGCAGGTCTGTGGAAAAATAAGGAAGTTTTGGGAGTAAAAATGTAACAATTTATCAGCAGGATAATGGCACAGTATTTGACCAGAAAAGCCAGCACAGGCCAATTGCCAGGAGTCAGAGAACTGCCAAAGCCACTGTTGCTGAGTGCTAGAATAAGGAACAAGGATTTCAGGAGGATCAATACCAAAAAGAGAAAGAGCCTGTACACGACCTTTAGCTACCAAAACAGAAACTCATTCAAAGTAAGATGTTACAACTTTCCCACAGCTGGCCGAGAGATGAAGCCATTCCAGGATACCTTGTTGCCAAGAAACTGCAGTAGGAGTATAAACAGTGGGAAGAACACAATAACACCAGTGGGAGTTTTCCTTAATATGAGAAAGTTTTTGCCTGGACAAGGTATCATGAACTAACTGCAAAGCCACCTTGGCAGGAGCTGTCAAAAAACGAGGGGAAGTTGGATTAGAGAGGGTCCTTTGAGAATGTCAAATAAGGGCTTCAATTGTCCTGTGGTAAGTTTCAAGCTCGGGCAAATCCAGTTAATGTCTCCTAAAAATTTCTGAAAGTCATGCAGTGTGGTTAAATTTGCTGTGGAGAGAATAGGAGTCTTAAAGGAAACTTGGTTAGATTCAATAAGCTTTCCCAAGTAATGGTAGGGAGTGGCAGTCTGAACCTTATCTGGTGCAATAACAAGGTTATTTTTTGTCAAATAGGTTTGCAAACATTCAAAGGCTTGATAAAGAAGGGTCTCAGTTGGAACAGCTAAGAGAAGATCAGCCATATAATGTAATAGTTGAGTATCAGAAAATTATTGATGAACAGGTTGGATGGCTTTAGACACAAAGGTCTGACACAAGCTGGGGCTGTTAGCCATAACTTGAGGCAACACAATACACTTGTACCGCTCATACAGTTGATCAAAATTAGTGCATGGTATGCTAAAGGCCAAACGATGACAATCTGAGGGATGCAAAGGAATGGAAAAGAAACAATCTTTCAGATCAATCACTAACAGTTTCCAAGTCTGAGACACAACAATAGGGGAAGGTAGCCTGGGTTGTAAGGAGCCCATCACCTTCATAGTAGCATTAACCTTTCTTAAATCCTGTAAAAGCCTCCATTTACCGGAGCGCTTCTTAATGACAAAGATAGGGGAATTCCAAAAACTATTAGTAGGTCTAATATAACCCGCAGAGAGTTGTTCCCGAACCAACCTCATGAGCCACTGTAATCTTTTAATCAGAAAGGGGCCACTGCTCCACCCACACTGGAGTATCTGACAACCAAGTAATTTTATCAGCATGGGAGTTGGGAATCATGGTGACCCCTAGGAAAAATATCCTAGGCCAGAACGGTCAGTTTTCTGGAAAAGAGCAAGAGGCTCAGGATTTCCCTGCAAAGTTTTCCCAAGCCCTTGCCAGGCAAGTAGCCCTGTTTAGTCATAATGTCGAGAGAAATGGGATTGGTCACCAATAGAGCCCCCATGGCTTCTAAAACATCGCAGCCCCAAAGATTGAGTGGGATACCAGGAATTACATAGGGGTGAAATGAGCCAGAGTGACCCTCATCATCAGTCCATGTTAATAAACTTGCAGATTGCATAAGATTGTTAGTCATTCCTATGCCTTGTAGAGAAGTCATGGCAGTAGTTGTAAGCCATTGAGAAGGCCAATATTTATGGGAATTACAGACACATCAGCCCCTGTGTCCAGGAGGCCTTTAAATGTTTTGCCATTAATTTTAATGGTAAGTTCAGGTCTGATAGATGAAATGGCTTGAACCCAGTAAGCATAAGAAGAAGAAGGCTCAGAACCTTTGTTACCTATAACTTTAGTCGACAATTGAGAGTCAGCTGAGGTATCAATAGGAGTGAGAAGCAGTTGAGCAAACAACAATTCAGGACTCAGCGTGAAAACACCTGTAGGCGACCAAGCAAACACCTTAATTTCTCCTGAGTAATCAGCATCAACAACAACAGGTAATACATTCAGACCTCTCAAGGAACAGTTACTATGACCTAAAATAAGACCAATATATCCTGAGAAAAGAGGGCCAAAAATGCCCGTAGGGATGGCTTGGGGTCCCATGTCAGGGCTTAATACCTGTCAGGCGGTGACACAGAGGTCAAGTCCTGTGCTGTTCGGTGTTGCTCTGCAGAGTTGAGAAACGGATTTGCGCTCAAACTCAGGACAGGAGCTTGAACATAAGGTGTCCTGATATTTTGCGGGGGCTGGGACTGACCCCCCTGGGAGTTTCCCAATTGCTGAGGGAGAGGATTGCCCTGGGCATCATGCTTAGAGTGGCACTCGTTGGCCCAATGGGTGCCACGGTGACAGCGAGGGCACAAACCTGGTTGATGTGGTTGGGGTGATGGGGTGACAGGAGAAGGAGAAGTAAAAGTAGGATCTGGGGGTGCTGGCAAAGCTAACATCTGAGGCTGTGGAGCAAAAGGAACTTGACACTGTCTAGCCATATGGCCCAGACTGCCACAATGAAAAAATTTAAGGGGCGGTCTAGGTTGGTTGGGTCTCTGTTTTAAAAAGGTGGCAATAGACATACCTGCTTGAGCAGCTGCTAGAGCAAGACCTTGTTGATAAGCAGGTCTGATATCAGCACAGAGGCGAATATAATCAGTTAAGGTGTCTTTACGTTTAAAGGGCCTCATGGATGCCTGGCATGCCGTATTAGCATTCTCAAAAGCCAATTGTTTCACCAATAGAGATCCAGCTTCATCATTGCCAACCTGGCGTGTAACAGCCTGGAGGAGGCGTGAGACAAATTCCTGAAAAGGCTCGTCAGATCCCTGACGAATTTTAGCAAGCTCCTCCATCCTAACACTGGATGATGGTAACTGCCTCCAGGCACACATCGCCAAGGAGGTTATCTGAGTATAAGCCTCATTAGGGTAATTAAGTTGGCCAGGCAATTCAGAATGCACCCCCCTCCCCATAAGCATATCTAGGGTAACTGGAGACTGCTGGCAACAGTTTTGAATAGACTTGTCATATAAGCATGAAAACAAAAAGTCTTAAAGCGACTGTGAGTGGAAGCCTGGTGGTCCTCGAAGAGGCTGGTAGGAAGGGTTTTAAGGATAGTGAAGAAAATGATAGTGGAACCCGAAGGAAAGGACATTGTAACTACACAGCTGCAAATGGAAACCAAAAGCATGCAGGAGCAGCTATATTTCTACCAGACAAAATAGATCTTAAGTCAAAAAATAAATAAATAAAAGAAAAAAAGAAGGTCATTATATAATAATAACAGGATCAATTCAGCAAGAGTATACAACAGTCATAAAGGTATATGCACTTAACACCTGAGCACACAGATCTATAAAACAAACATCACTGAAACTAAAGAGACAGTCCCCAGTACAATAGTAGATGAGGACTCCATCACCTGACTTTCAGCATTGTAAAGATCTAAACAGAAAATCGATAAAGAAACATCAAAATTAACCTGCACTGCAGACCATAGGGACCTAGCAGACACTTACAGAACATTTCATTAAAAAGCTGCAGAATAGGGGGGAGGACTCAAGATGGCGCTGTGAGAACAGCCCAAGATTGGAGCTCGCGTTGTGTCCGCGGAAAGGTGAGTCTGAGCTGCACTTCCAGACTGATCTTTGTTGCCCACGGAATGGGGAAATTCCCAAGTGAAGAGGAGACGTGGGATGCCAGGCAGAACCTCTGCCTGGCGAAGCCGGCAGCCGGGGTGGCGGTGGCCGGCCCTACCCAGTGCTCCCCACAGGGCGCGCTTGTCTGGGTGCCCCGTTGAACCAGCAACAGGAGACGTGAGAGGGCTGGACTTGAGACTGAGCTAGTCTTGGACAGTGGGCCAGCCAGGGGATCGCAGGGACAGAGAGTTAGGTTTGGCCCAGTGGGATGAAAAAAACCGTGATTTCAAACAAGCCCCAGGCAGATGGCCCGAGAAGCTCTGAGGGGGAGGGGCGTCCACCATTACCAAGGCAACCCGCGCCAACTGAGATACACGCCCATTGCTGACGCAGCCTGCCGTTGCTGAGGCAACCCGTCCCTACTGAGATACACGCCCACTGCTGACGCACCCTGCCATTGCCGAGGCAACCCGTCCCTACTGAGATACACGCCCACTGCTGACGCAGCCTGCCGTTGCCGAGGCAACCCGCTACAACAGAGAGACTCCACTGCAGGGTGTGGCGGAGACCACAGCAGAGCCTGCAGGAACAGGGCTAATCACACAACAGCAGGGCGGAGCCTCGGCAGCCAAACAGCGGCTAGTCTCTGTCCTAGCTGGGCAGGACCTCAACGGACATTCAAAAATAAAGCCCAAACCCCTTAACACAGAGCATTTGAGAAAAAAAAGGGTTTTTTAATGAGCTCTGTTGCTGCAGAATCAAACATAGCAGCCTAACAACCCTGAATGAACAACAGAGCTCACAGCTCAGCAATTAAACCCCTATAAAGTACAAACTGTCTCCTCAAGCAGCTCCCTGACCCCTCTATATCCAAAAGACTGACATTAGGCAGGCATCATCCTGGGACAAAGATAGCAGAAAAAGAAACTGGTAGCATCCCTCGCTGTGCCACAGCTGCTAGAGGTGCACCCCAGACAAGCAGGGTCTGGAGCGGACCTCAGCAGTTGTACAGCGAAGGGGCTAGACTGGTAGAAGGAAAACCAAGCAACAGAAATACTTCATCATCAACATTCTGGGTGTCCACTCAGAGACCCAATCAAAAAGTCAGCAACTACGCAGACGACCAGCGGACAAATCCACAAAGATGGGAAAAAACCAGCGCAAAAAGGAGGAAAACACCTGAAACCAGAACAACTCGCCTCCTAGAAAGGACCAAAGCTCCTCACCAGCAAGGGAACAAAGCTGGACGGAGAATGACTGTGATGAAATGATGGAATTAGACTTCAGAAGATGGATAATGAGAAACTTTTGTGAGCTAAAAGATCATGTATTAAATCAATGCAAAGAAACTAAGAACCTTGAAAAAAGATTTGAAAAAAGATTCGAGGAAATGATAACAAGAATGGATAACTTAGAGAGGAATATGAATGAATTAAAGGAGCTGAAAAACACAATACAAGAACTTCGCGAAGCAAACACAAGTTTCAATAGCCGAATTGACCAAGCAGAAGAAAGAATATCTGAAGTCGAAGACCAACTCAATGAAATAAAACGAGAAACCAAGATTAGAGAAAAAAGCGCAAAAAGGAATGAACAAGTCTCCAAGAAATGTGAGACTATGTGAAAAGACCTAACCTACGTTTGATAGGTGTACCAGAAGGGGACGAAGAGAATGAATCCAAGCTGGAAAATACTCTTCAGGACATCATCCAGGAAAATTTCCCCCACCTAGCAAGACAGGCCAACACTCAATTGCAGGAAATACAGAGAACACCACAAAGATATTCCGCAAGAAGAGCAACCCCAAGGCACATAATCGTCAGATTCAACAGGGTTGAAATAAAGGAGAGAATACTAAGGGCAGCCAGAGAGAAAGGTCGGGTCACCCACAAAGGGAAGCCCATCAGACTCACAGCAGATCTCTCGACAGAAACACTACAAGCCAGAAGAGAGTGGGGGCCAATATTCAACATCCTTAAAGAAAAGAACTTTCAACCCAGAATTTCATATCCAGCCAAACTGAGCTTCAGAAGTGAAGGAAAAATAAAATCCTTTGCGAACAAGCAAGTACTCAGAGATTTTGTCACCACCAGGCCTGCTTTACAAGAGCTCCTTAAAGAGGCACTACACATAGAAAGGATCAACCAGTACCAGCCATTCCAAAATCACACTGAATGCTAAAGAGCATCAACATAATGAAGAATCTACAACAACTAACAGGCAAAACAGCCACTTAGCATCAAAATGGCAGTATTAAATTCACACATAACAATATTAACCCTAAATGTAAATGGACTAAACGCACCAATCAAAAGACACAGACTGGAAAATTGGATAAAAATCCAAAACCCATCAGTGTGCTGTATTCAGGAAACCCATCTCACATGCAAGGATACACAAAGGCTCAAAATAAAGGGATGGAGGAAGATTTACCAAGCTAATGGAAAGCCAAAAAAAGCAGGAGTTGCAATTCTCATCTCTGATAAAATAGACTTTAAAGCAACAAAGATCAAAAGAGACAAAGAAGGCCATTACATAATGGTAAAAGGATCGATACAACAAGAAGAGCTAACGATCCTAAACATATATGGATCCAATGCAGGAGCACCCAGATACACAAGGCAAGTTCTTAATGACTTACAAAAGGACTTAGACTCCCACACAATAATAGTGGGAGACTTTAATACTCCACTGTCAATACTAGACAGATCAACCAGACAGAAAATCAACAAGGATATCCAGGGCTTGAACTCAGACCTGGAGCAAGCAAACCTGATAGACATTTACAGAACTCTCCACCCCAAATCCACAGAATACACATTCTTCTCAGCACCACATCACACCTACTCTAAAATTGACCACATAATTGGAAGTAAAGCACTGCTCAGCAAATGCAAAACAACTGAAATCATAACAAACAGCCTCTCAGACCATAGTGCAATCAAGTTAGAACTCAGAATTTAGAAACCGACCCAGAACCGCACAGCTTCACAGAAACTGAACAACTGGCTCTTGAATGTTGACTGGGTAAACAACGAAATGAAGGCAGAAATAAAGAAGTTCTTCGAAACCAATGAGAACGAAGACACAACGTGCCAGAACCTCTGGGACACATTTAAAGCAGTCTCTAGAGGAAAGTATATAGCAATAAGTGCCCATATGAGGAGAATGGAGAGATCCAAAATTGACACCCTATCGTCAAAATTGAAAGAGCTAGAGGAGCAAGATCAAAAAAACTCAAAACCCAGCAGAAGACAAGAAATAACTAAGATCAGAGCTGAGCTGAAGGAGATTGAGACACGAAAAACCCTTCAAAAAATCAATAAATCCAAGAGCTGGTTTTTTGAATAGATCAACAAAATAGACAGACCACTAGCCAGATTGATTAAAAATAAAAGAGAGAACAACCAAATAGATGCAATAAAAAATGATAAAGGGGAAATCACTACAGATTCCACAGAAATTCAAACCATCATCAGAGAATATTACAAACAACTCTATGCGCATAAACTAGTAAACCTGGAAGAAATGGATAAATTCCTGGACTCCTGTGTCCTCCCAAGCCTAAACCAGGAGGAAGCTGAAACTATGAATAGACCAATAACAAGGTCTGAAGTTGAGGCAGAAATTAAGAGCCTACCACACAAAAAAAAGCCCAGGTCCAGACGGGTTCACAGCCGAATTCTACCAGACACACAAAAAGGAGCTGGTACCATTCCTTCTAAAACTATTTCAAACAATCCAAAAAGAGGGAATCCTTCCCAAATAATTTTATGAGACCAACATCATCCTGATACCAAAACCCGGCAGAGACCCAACGAGAAAAGAAAACTTCAGGCCAATATCCATGATGAACATAGATGCAAAAATCTTCAATAAAATATTGGCAAGCCGATTGCAACAACAAATCAAAAAACTTATTCATCATGATCAAGTAGGATTCAATCCCAGGGATGCAAGGCTGGTTCAACATACGCAAGTCTATCAACGTAATTCACCACATAAACAGAACCAAAAACAAAAACCACATGATTATCTCAATTGACGCAGAGAAGGCATTTGACAAAATTCAACAGCCCTTTATGCTAAAAACCCTCAATAAACTCGGTATCGATGGAACGTATCTCAAAGTAATAAAAGCTATTTACGACAAACCAACAGCCAATATCATACCGAATGGGCAAAAACTGGAAGCATTCCCTTTAAAATCTGGCACTAGACAAGGATGCCGTCTCTCACCACTCCTATTCAATATAGTACTGGAAGTTCTAGCCAGAGCAATCAGGCAAGAAAAAGAAATAAAGGGTATTCAAATAGGAAAGGTGGAAGCCAAATTGTCTCTATTTGCAGACGACATGATAGTATACTTAGAAGACCCCATCGCCTCAGCCCCAAAACTCCTGAAACTGATAAGCACCTTCAGCAAAGTCTTAGGATATAAAATCAATGTGCAAAAATCACAAGCATTCGTCTACACCAATAACAGACTTAAAGAAAGCCAAATCAAGAGCGAACTGCCATTCGCAATTGCTACAAAAAGAATAAAATACCTTGGAATACAACTCACAAGGAACGTAAGAGACCTCTTCAAGGAGAACTACAAACCACTGCTCAACGAAATCAGAGAGGACACAAACAGATGGAGAAACATTCCATGTTCATGGTTAGGAAGAATTAATATCGTGAAAATGGCTATACTGCCCAAAGTAATTTACAGAATCAACGCTATCCCCATCAAGCTACCATCGACTTTCTTCACAGAACTGGAAAAAACCACCATGAACTTCATATGGAACCAAAAGAGAGCCCGCATAGCCTAGTCAATTCTAAGCAAAAAGAACACAGCGGGGGGCATCACACTACCGGATTTCAAACTATACTACAAGGCTACAGTAATCAAAACAGCATGGTACTGGTACCAAAACAGAGATATAGACCAATGGAACAAAACAGATGCACTGGAGGCAACACAACATACATACAACTATACAATCTTTGATAAACCCGACAAAAACAAGCAATGGGGCAAGGATTCCATGTTTAACAAATGGTGTTGGGAAAACTGGCTAGCCATGTGCAGAAAGCAGAAACTGGACCCCTTCCTGACACCTTACACTAAAATTAACTCCAGATGGATTAAAGACTTAAACATAAGACCTGGCACCATAAAAACCCTAGAAGGAAATCTAGGCAAAACCATCCAGGACATAGGAGTAGGCAAGGACTTTATGAACAAAACACCAAAAGCATTGGCAACAAAAGCCAAAATAGACAAATGGGACCTAATGAAACTCCACAGCTTCTGCACGGCAAAAGAAACAGTCACTAGAGTGGATCGGCAGCCAACAGAATGGGAAAAAATTTTCGCAGTCTACCCATCTGACAAAGGGCTGATATCCAGAATTTACAAAGAACTCAAACAGATTTACAGGAAAAAAACAGACAAGCCCATTCAAAAGTGGGCAAAGGATATGAACAGATACTTTACGAAAGAAGAGATATATGAGGCCAACAATCATATGAAAAAATGCTCATCGTCACTGGTCATCAGAGAGATGCAAATCAAAACCACATTGAGATACCATCTCACACCAATTAGAATGGCGATCATTAAAAAATCTGGAGACAACAGATGCTGGAGAGGATGTGGAGAAAAAGGAACACTTTTACACTGTTGGTGGGAGTGTAAATTAGTTCAACCATTGTGTAAGACAGTATGGCGATTCCTCAAGGCCTTAGAAATAGAAATTTCATTTGACCTAGCAATCCCATTACTGGGTATATATCCGAAAGTCTGTAAATCGTTCTACTATAAGGACACATGTACACGAATGTTCATTGCAGCACTGTTTACAATAGCAAAGACCTGGAATCAACCGAAATGCCCATTGATAATAGATTGGATTGGAAAAATGTGGCACATATACACCATGGAATATTATGCAGCAATCAGAAATGATGAGTTTGTGTCATTTGTAGGGACATGGATGAATCTGGAGAACATCATCCTCAGCAAACTGACACAAGAACAGAAAATGAAACACCGCATATTCTCACTCATAGGTGGGTGATGAAAAATGAGAACACATGGACACAGAAAGGGGAGTACTAAACACTGGGGTCTATTGGGGGGAAAAGGGGAGGGCCAGTGGGAGGGGGAGGTGGGGAGGGATAGCCTGGGGAGAAATGCCAAATGTGGGTGAAGGGGAGAAGAAAAGCAAAGCACACTGCCATGTGTGTACCTACGCAACTGTCTTGCATGCTCTGCTCATGTACCCCAAAACCTAAAATCCAATAAAAATTAAAAAAAAAAAGCACATGTGGCACATGTACATCATGGAATACTATGCAGCCATAAAAAAGGATGAGTTCGTGTCCTTCAGAGCGATATGGATGAAGCTGGATACCATCATTCTCAGCAAACTGACACAAGAACAGAAAACCAAACACTACATGTTCTCACTCATAAGTGGGAGTTGAACAATGAGAACCCCTGGACCAGGGAAGGGAACATCACACACTGGGGCCTGTTGGGGGTGGGAGGGTTGGGGAGGGATAGCATTAGGAGAAATACCTAATGTAGGTGATGGGTTGATGGACGCAGCAAACCAACATGGTGCATGTATACCTATGTAACAAACACGCATGTTCTGCACATGTGCTCCAGAACCTAAAGGATAATAATAATAATAAAAATGGCAATATTATTATTAGAAACTAAAACTTGGTAAGAATGGGAGACTACCTGAAATTGCCATCCAGTTATACATTCAAAATCCTTTGTTATATGTTAAGGTTAACAAAATTGACTACACGAACTACAAGACCTCTGAAATGAGAGAATCCCATAGGTATCTGGGTTTCATGATGTCCTTTTGAATAAACCACTAAACAATAAAGTAGGGAATATTTTTGAGTGTGCTGAAAAAAAAAAGAAAAAAAAAGCTGCAGAATACACATTCTTCTCATTAGCACATAGAAAATTCTCCAGAATAGACCATCTACTGAGTTTACAAACTCCTAGGAATCAAGTATCTTCTCAACCACAATGGAATAAATATAGAAATCAATAACAGGGACAAAAATTTTGGAAACTGCAAACACATGGAAATTAAACGGCATGCTCCTGAATGAACAACTGGGTCAATCAATAAATTAAGAAAAAAAATTTAAATATTTTGTAACAAATAAAAATGGGAAAGAAACCAACCCCTATAGAAAGTGACAAAAGAAGCACTAAGAGGGCAATTTATAGCAATTAACAGCTACGTCTAAAAAAGAGAAAGACTTCAAACAAGTAACGTAACCATGCACCTTAAGAAACCAAAACAGCAAGAACAGACCCGAAACTCAAATATAGTAGAAGGAAAGAAATGATAAAGGCAGGGCAGAACTGAATGAGGTAGAGTAAAAAAACAAAACCAACTAAACATCCTTCAAACTGGAAGACGGTTTTGGGAAAAGATAAACACAACTGATACACTGCTAACTATATTAAACAAGAAAAAAGAGAAAAACAAAAAGAGAAACAGAGAAGGAGATATTAAAACCGATACCAAAGAAATACATGGGGTCATGAGAGACTACTGTGCACAACTATATGCCAACAAACTGAAAAGCCTAGAGAAAATGGATACATTCCTGGAAATGCATAACCAGCAAGAACGAACCAAGAAGAAATGGAAACCTGAACAGAACAATGAAAGGTTATGTAATTGAATCAGCAGTAAAGTTTCCCAATAAAGAAAAGTGTAAAACTGGGTAACTTTACTGCTGAATTCTATTAAACTTTTAAGGAAAAACTAACAGCAATGTTTTGCAAATTACTCCAAAATCTTTCTAGTTTATTCTGAAGGTCAGTATTACTGTAAGGCCAAACCGAGACAAGGACACACACAACAAAAGGAAACTACATGTCAATATCCCTGAAGGACACAGACACAGAAATTGTCAAAAAAATCAAGGGGATCCAAATTGGAAAACAGAAAGTCACACTGTCTCTCTGTGCACATAAAAGAATTCAGCAGGCCGGGCGCGGTGGCTCACGCCTATAATCCCAGCACTTTGGGAGGCAGAGGCAGGTGGATCACAAGGTCAATAGATCGAGACCATCCTGGTCAACATGGACCCTGTCTCTACTAAAAATACAAAAATTAGGTGGGCATGGTGGCACGCACCTGTAGTCCCAACTACTCGGGAGGCTGACGCAGGAGAATTGCCTGAACCCAGGAGGCAGAGGTTGCGGTGAGCCAAGTTGCGCCATTGCACTCCAGCCTGGGTAACAAGAGCGAAACTCTGTCTCAAAAAAAAAATCAAACAATAACAACAACAAAAATTAGCTGGGCATGGTGGTGCGTGCCTGTAATCCCAGCTCCTCAGGAGGCTGAGGCAGGAGAATTGCCTGAACCCAGGAGGCAGAGGTTGCAGAGAGCCGAGATCTCGCCTTTGCACTCCAGCCTGGGTAACAAGAGCTAAACTCTGTCTCAAAAAAAAAAAAAAAAAAAAAAAAAAAAAAGACTGCTATTTTCCTACTCAACTCTGGAATAGGGACTCCTCTCTGTCTGCTACAAAGTAAAAGATTGCTATTGCCTTACTCACCTCCGACATACTCCAGGGTCTTTGGGAGTTTCCTCCCCTAACCATTTCAACTTTTTTGGATTCTCGCTCTTCCATGCCTCCCTCTTCCTTTTTCCATTGCCAGTTCCCTGATGACAGTTACTGGCTTTCCTGAATGGAATCCTGGCCCTATCCCTGACCCCCACCCTCACTTTCAGCCAGTTTGAAACCATTTGGCTCCTTTTTTGGCAGAAGAGTCACTATTGTTGTAAAGTTTTTTAAATCAATAAAGTCAGTGGCTTTCATGAAAAAAAGGAAAACTACAGCCCTATATTTCCGATGAATGTAGACACAAAAGTCTCAACAAAATATTAGCAAATGAAACCCAGCAATACATCAAAAGTTTACTTCACCACAATCAAGTCGAGTTTATTCTTGTGATGCAAGGTTGGTTCAAAGTACACAAATGAGTAAATGTGTTTCACCACATAAACAGAATGGAAAAAGAAAAACCATATGATCATCACAAAAGATGCAAAAAAGCTTTCAATAACATCCATAATCCCTTCATGAAAAAAATCAACACATTAGGCATCAAACAAATAGACCTCCAAATAACAAGGGCCACTTTGTAACAAACCTGCTGCTGAAATCACAGAATGGGCAAAAGCTGGAAGTGGGAGCTGAGTGCAGTGGCTCATGCTTATAACTCCAGCATGTTGGGAGGTGAAGACAGGAGTATCACTTGAGGCCAGGAGTCTGAGACCAACCTGGCCACACAGTGAGACCTTGTCTCTATAAAATAATAAAGAAAAAAGAACAAAAAGAGTTGGAAGCATTCCCCTTGACAGCTGGAACAAGACAAGGATGCCCCATCTCACCACATCTATTCAACATAGGACTGGAACTCCCACCTAGCCAGAGCAATCAGGCAAAAGAAAGAAAGGCATCCAAAAAGGAAAAGAAGCCAAACTATCTCCCTTTGCTGATGATCTGATGCTCTAAGTAGAAAACTCTGTGAGTCTGCCAGTGTATCCTGGAACTGACAAATGACTTCAGTCAGAATGCAAAAATATCAGTAGCATTTCTATAGACCAATAAAGTTCAAGCTGAGAGACAAATCCAGAATGTGATTCCATTGACAAAAGCCATACACAAGAAAGCAAAATACTTAGGAATGCATCTAACCACAGAGATGAAACGTGGCTAAATGGAGAACTGCAAAACACTGCTGAAAAGTCATGACACCAAAAAATGCAAAAACATTCCATGCTCACAGATTGGAAAAATCAGTATCAGTAAAATGGCCATACTGCCCAAAGCAATCTACAAACTCAATACTATTCCTATCAAACTACAAAGGTCATTTTTCACAGCATTAGAAAAACTATTCTAAAATTTCATATGAAATGAGAAAAGAGCCCAAACACCCACAGCCATCCTAAGCAAAAAGAACAAAACCTGACACATCACACTGCCCAACTTCAAACTATACTCAGTAAACAAAGCCTACAATGAACAAAACAGCATGGTACTGGCACAAAAACAGACACACAGACCAATGGAACAGAATAGAGAGCCCAGAAATAAAGCCACAAGCCTATAACCATTTGATCTTTGAAAAAGCGCAATGGGGAAAGGACTCCCTGTTCAATAAATGGTGCTGGGATGACTTGCTATCCATACACAGAAATATGAACCTTGACCCCTAGCTATCACCACATATAAAAATGAATGAAAGCTGAAGTACATTCTTAAAAGAAAAACCTCTAACTATAAAAACCCTACAAGAAAACCAAAGAAACATAGTATTTGAAATCAGCCTCTGAATATAATTTATGAATAAGTCGTCAAAAGCAACTGCAACAAAATGAAAAACTGGAACCTAGTTAAACAAAGGAGCTTCTGCATAGAAAAAGGAACCATTCAAGAGACTAACTAGGCAACCTAAATCATGAAAGAATGTATTTACAAGCGATGCATTAAACAGTTCTGATATCCAGAACCTATAAGAAACTTAAATCAACAAGCAAGAATTTAAAAAAATATATAAAAGCGGGCAAAATACATAAAGAGACATTTCCCAAAAAAAGACAGAAAAGCAGAGGGCAAACATGAAATAAAAGCTCATCTCACTAATCAGAGAAAAGCAAATCAAAGCCACAATGAAATGCCATCTCAAACCAGTGATAGCCATAATGGCTATCACTAAAAAGTCCAAAAACAAGGAACATCGACCCAGATTTTGGCAGAGCTGCTACAGCAAAAAGGGCATTCGAATACACTGCTGGAGAAAATGGTAAATTCATTTAGCCACTGTGGAAAGCAGTTTGGAGATTTCTGTCATGGAACTAAAAATAGAACTGCCTTCAACCCAGCAATCCCATTAGCGGGTTAAATACCCACTCCCTCCCAGAAATCATTCTACCAAAAAGACACACGCACCCATATGTTGGCTGCAGCACTATTCACAATAGCAAAGATATGGAATCAATCCAGAAGCCCATCAATAGTGCACTGGATTAAGAAAATGTAGCACACATAAAATATGTAACACTATGCAGCTATAACAAGAACAAAATAATGTTCTTTGCAAGAACATGGATGTAGCTGGAGGCCATGATGCTAAGCAAACTGATGTGGAAACAGAAAACCAAATACTACATGTCTCACTTGTCAGTGGGACCTAAACATTGGGTCCACATGGACATAAAGAGAAGAGCAACAGACACTGGGGACTACAAGAAGAGGGATTGGGTTGGGACAATGGTTGAAAAATGACATGCCAGGTACATGCTCACTACCTCGGTGATAGGTTCAATTGCACCCCAAACCTAACCATTATGCAATATATACCTTTGTAACAAACCTGCACATGTACCCCCTAAATCTAAAATAAAAGTTAAGAAAGAGGCGGTGGCTCACGCCTGTAATCCCAGCACTTTGGGAGGCCGAGGTGGGCAGATCATGAGGTCAAAAGATCGAGACCATCCTGGCCAACATGGTGAAACCCTGTCTCTACTAAAAAATACAAAAATTAGCTGGGAGTGGTGGCGCACACCTGTAGTATCCAGCTACTCGAGAGGCTGAAGTAGGAGAATTGCTTGAACCCAGGAGGTAGAGATTGCAATGAGCTGAGATTGTGCCACTAAACTTCAGGCTGGGACCTGAAGACAGAGTGAGACTCTGTCTAGAAAAAAAAAGAAAAAAGAAAGAAAGAGAAAAAATAAATAAGATGAAAATAAAATGCCCTTTATAACTTGCAACGACAAACACCAATAACATTCTTCACAGAAATAAAAAAAAAATCCTAAAATTTATATGAAACCACAAAAATGCTAGACTTAGACAAGCCAAGTCTGAGGGAAAAGAACAAAGCTGGAAGCATCACTCTACCTCCTTGAAATCTACCTGACTTCAAATATATTATAAGCTTATGGTAACAAAAAAGCATGGTCTTGGTATAAAAAACAGAAAATTAAATCAGTGGAACAGAATAGAGAACCCAGAAATAAAAACACATATTTACAGACACCGGATTTTCAACAAAGGTGTCAAGAACATACATTGGGGAAAGAACACTCTCATTGACAAATGGAACCAGGGAAACTGGATATTTGTAAAAAGAAGAATAAAACTAGGTCCCTATTTTTCACCATATACAAAAATCAACACAAAATGGATTAAAGACTTAAACATGAAATCCAAAATTATAAAACTACTACAAGAAAATACAGGAAAAATGCTTCATGACACAGGTCAAGGCAAAGATTTTCAAGCTAAGTTATCACAGGAATATGCAAAAAAAGCACAGGCATAAAAACAAAAATAGACAAGTAAGGCTATTTTAAAATTAAGTTTCTTCACAGCAAATCCTTTGTTGAACAACCAACAATCTGTAATATAAGAGACAATATTTATAAATCTATTCATCTGAGAAAGGTCTAATATCTAGAATATACCAGAAACTTAACACAACAGTAAAAGCAGTTAATAATGTCCCTAATGTGGACAAAGAATTTAAATAGACATTTCTAAAAAGAAGAGGTACAAATGGCCAAAAAATATATGGAAAAGTACTCAACATCACTGACAGCAGGAAAACGGAAATAAAATTCAAAATGAGATATCATCTCACCACAGTTAGAATGGCTACTATATATATTTAAAAAAAAAAGTAAAAAATCCTGGTGAGGTTGGAGAGAAAAAGAAAACTCTTATGCACTCATGGAGGGAATGTAAACTAGTATAGCCATTATGGAAAACTGTGGAACTTTCTTAAAAAACTAAAAATACAAGTCTCATATAATCCAGTAATCCCACTACTATTTATCCAAAAGAAAGACATTCAGTATATCAAAGGGATACCAGTATCCCCATGTTTACTGCAGCACTATTCACAATAACCAAACTACAGAATCAACCTAAATGTTCATCAATAGATGACTGTGGTTGTGAGTAAAGGAAATGTGATACACTGGGGTCTGTTGGGGGAACAGGGGAGGGACAGCTGGGGGTGGGGAGTTGGGGAGAGAGAGCATGGGGAGAAATGCCAGATGTAGGTGAAGGGGAGGAAGGCAGCAAATCACACCGAAACGTGTGTACCTATGCAACTATGTTGCATGTTCTTCACATGTATCCCAAAACCTAAAATGCAATGAAAAAATATATAAAATAAATTAGAGAAGCAAAAAAAGAAAGAAAATGTGACATATGTACACAGTGGAATACTATTTAGCCATAAAAAAGAATAAAATTATGCAATTGACAGCAACATGGATGAAAACATTAAGTGACATTAAGTGAAATAATTCAGGCACAGAAAAATAACTACTGTATGTTCTCACTCATATGGAAGCTAAAATTAAAAAAAAAGTTTTTGGAATTGTGGGTAACAGAGGCTGAGAAAGGTAAGGGGAGATGGGGAGAGGTTGTTTTATGGATATAAAATGATAGCTAGATGGGGGAATGAATTCTAGTGTTCTTCTGCATTGTAGGGTGAATATGGTTAACTTTTCTTTTTTTTTAGAGACAGAGTCTCACTCTGTCACTCAAGCTAAAGTACAGTGATGCACTCTCAGCTCACTGCAACCTTTGCCTCTGAGGTTCAAGCCATTCTGCCTCAGCCTCCCTAGTAGCTAGGATTAGAGGTGTGTACCACCACACCTGGTTTGGTTAACTAATAGTTTTAAATAGCTAGAGGAGTGGATTTTCAAAGCTCACAGCACAAAGAAATGGTGAATGTTTGAGGTGATGGATATGTTATAGTCTTATTTGACCATCACACATTGTTTACACATATCGAAATATCACTGTGTATACCATAAATATGTAGTTATACAAGTCCACAAAAAACAAAAGGAAGCCAGGTGTGGTGTCACAGGCCTGTGATCTCAGCCACCTGGAAGACTGAGGCAGAAAGAATTCCTGAGCCATGGTGGTCAAGGCCAGCCTGGGCAACATAGCAAGACATCATGTTTAAAAAAAAACACACACACAAATAAAAGTAAAAGCAAAATAATTCATCCTATACATAGACTATGGGTGAAACTTAACGGCTTGCTTCTAATGAACAGAATGTGTTAAAAGTGATAACACGATGTTGCTTCCTACATTAGGTTTAAAGAGGCTCTCTACCGCAGACTGCTCGCCTTGAAACCCAGCCCCCATGTTGTGAGGAAACTTAGCCACAAAGAGAGCCTAGGAGTTCCAGTGTAGAATATTTGGCTATTCAATGCAATTTCCCCTTAACTCATTTGTATGGAGAAGGGAAAAGCAGCTCATCTTTATATTGTAACAAAATGCTTCTCCATATCATATAAATTGGCTCTGAAATTTTGAAATTCATACAACTAATTTGACTCTTTGTTCCTGATAAATGCCTGGACATTACCCGATATCCAGTTGCTGCACTCCTGGAAGTTGTTCTTTGAATAGGTTGAAGTATTTATTCAATGAATTATGTATTGAGCTAGAAAAGCATAGCTACTCATCTACATTTAAGCAAAAGGAGGTAAATGCAGGGAACTCTGGTTTCTGAGAATGTAGGATCTGTGCCAAGAATAGGATTTAGCCCCGGGGTTGTATAAGAGAACCAGGTGCTGGGTCAAAAGAGGATCTAACTGTGAACTGCAACATGATAAATTAGCTCAGTTTCCAATGAGGAAAGATGACAGCCCAGACTTAATCTTGATCTTCATAGATAGTTCAAATCTACACATGACTTCATGACTTATAATGAGCTAATGAAACATAACGTAATAAATAGTAGATGCAGTCAGCAGATCCTGTGGTGAAGAATTGATGGAAATGGGAGTGAAGAGAGAGGCACTGGGTGAGAGACAAAAGGTGTGACTGGAGAAAAAAAAATCAATGGGATCTGTCTTTGCAAGCCTGACTCTCATCATGTCATGGAATCAGCAAGGCATAAGCTGGCCATACACTCCTTCAAGAAGCATAAAATGAAATTAAAGACATTCTACTACTTGAATTTCTGTTCTTACCTAAGACAACTCGTGATAAGCAACAGGACTGAAAATGAATTCTCCTAAAATGTGATTCGGTACTGGCATAAATGTGATTTGGTACTGGCTCAACATATTAGAATCTAGAATCCAAAAAGAAACCTACATTTTTATAGTCAACTGATTTTCAACAAGGGTATAAAAAAATGAGAAACGAATAGATTTTTCTACAAATGATGCTGGGACAACTGTATTTCCATGTGCAAGAGAATAAAGGTGGATTTCCACCAAATGTCATATATAAAACTAACAAAATAGAACCACTAAAATTATAAAATTCCTAGGAGAAAACATAGCCATAGATCTTTGTGACTGCAGAAAAATAGATTAACTGGACTTCATTGAAATGCAAAACTTCTGTGCTTAAACGGAGACCATTAAGAAAGGGAAAGGAGGTTGGGCATGGTGGCTTACACCTGTAATCCTAATATTTTGGGAATGCTTGAGCTCAGTTCAAGATAAGCCTAGGCAACTTAGTGAGACCTTCTCTCTACAACTTAAAATTATATAAATTTTAAAAACATAATAAATCATAAGAAAGTAAAAAGGAAAGACATTGAAAATATTTGGAAACAATATATCTGATAAGGGACTTACACCTAGAGTATATAAAGAACTCTTAAAATTCTGAAATTTAAGATAACCCAATTTTAGAGTGGGCAAATGATTTGAATAGACATTTCCCAAAGAAGATATACAAATGGCTCATAAGCACATGAAAAGAGGCTTACAGTCATTCATCATTAGGGAAATGTGAATCAAAACCACAATGACATGATACCACTTTATACCTCTGGGTTAGAATCCTTTTTAAATCAAAAATATGAAAAATGCTGGCAAAGATGTGAAGAAGTTAGAACCTTCATACAATGCTGATGAGAATGTAAAATGGTGCAACCACTTTGAAAAGCAGACTGTCAGCTCCTCAAAAGCTTAAGTATAGAGTTACTATAGAACCCAGAAATTCAACTCCTAAGTATATACCCAAGAGAAGAACACATACGCAAACACAAAAACTTGTACATAAAAGGTCACAGCAGGATGATTAATAGCCAAAACGTGGAAAAAACCCAAAGGTCCATCAACTGATAAATGGCTAAATAAAATGAATGGTACGTCCATACAGTGGAACAATACTCAGCAGAAAGATGAAATTAAGTACTGATACATGTTACAACACAATGAACCTTCAAAATGTTATACTAAGTAGATGAAGCCAGACACAAAAGACCACCACATATTGTGTGATCCAGTTGATATGTGGTGTCCAGAATGGGCTAATGTATGGAAACAAAATAGGTTGCTGGTTCTTTTCAGGGTCATGAAAATGTCCTATAATTGATGATGGTGATGTTTATGCAACACTGTGACTATACTAAGAGACCATGATTTGTACGCGTTCAATGGGTAAACAGTGTGGTATAAGAATTTTGTCTCAGTAAAGTTTTTTTTTTTTTTAAATTCAGTGGTAGGATCTAGATACATCTCTTAATTCTCTACTTTGGATGTACTTACTATAGGTGATTTGTAAAAAAGCACAATATATTTAAAATGAAAGGTAAATGAAGGAAGTGCCTAACATGTCAAGTAGTTTATAAATTAAAACATTTGCATTTTGGAGAACAGTACTATGGCCTTTCTGTACAAGTTATCCTGAAATTCATGAAATAAATATACACACATTCTGTACCCATTTACAAAAGTAAAGATAAGAAATAAGACGATTTCTGAAACATTCCATTAAACATTATCCTATGATTTAATCTGGCTTGCCTAACCATGGCAATAGAGAAATCACTAAAAATACTTCACAGGAAAAAAAAAAGCCTCTCAACTTCTATGAGGAATAATAATAATTCCCAAGTTTCCTAAGGATCTTTGGAAATGATCCTTATTTTTAAAATGTATGTACTTAACAGGAGAAAAGGACAGAATGAAAACCAGAGGTTAAGAAAAAAGTGCATTATAAAGATAATAAAATTATCCTAAAAATACAAAGGAAAGCCATCCACTTCAATCAGTATCCTAAAGCATTTGACACTATTTCACCACCTATAGATTAACTGTAGACATGTTAGGTTTCATACATACTTCACTGCTGCTTTGACCCAATTTCTTCTTTGAATCCTGTGTCTCATCTAAATTAAATGATGTAGCCTCTGCTGTAGGTTGTTGTTTTAGGGGATCAGTCCATTCTAGTTGGTGTTGTCTCATAACTACCTGTGAAAGTATTTTTGTTACTGATTGTATCATCACCTTATTGTTAAATTGTAGTAATGATATTTAGCTCTAACATATACACTTTGAAAAACATCAACACATATGTGGATTCACCTTTTCCTTGTGTGTGCACATTCTTGTTTATTACTGAATTCAGTTAAGGACACAGAAGGTGCTATCTTTCTGCCAAATCAGTTTTCTGTTAACTTAGACAATAGATTCACCCACTATTCACTCATCCCTGAAACATCTGCAATGCTTAACAACCTACTGAAGTCTCAAAAAGAAATCGGGTGGGGCTGCTGGTGGTACATCCCACACTGTGAAATGTTTTTCCCTCGTTTTTATTAGAAGCTCCAATCAACTTCAGAGTTCCTTGCATATTCAGTTGCCTACTCAGATCCTTCCAAAAGATTCCTATCTCAGAATACAAGTAAAATTCCAATGGCCTTTGAGGCCCTGGGTTACCTGGCCTCTACCTCCCTCCTGACCTCAGCTGCTTTTTTTTTTTTTAATGGGTTTCAATAATGGCCGATCAATATTTTGAGTGTTTAAAGTGGTTAATGCATATTTTATGTGTTTAAAATGGAGACCTCTATTGTGTTTATTTGTTCTGGCTCTGAGTTCAAGTCCTGGATATCGTTATCAATTTGTTGTCTCATTGAATCTAAATCTCATTATGTGTCTTATGTATCTGGGTGTTAAGATCTCTTATTGTTGCATTAATCCTTTTACCCTTGCATCCTTGTAGCTTTGAAATCTATTTTATTAAGTGTGAGAATTGCAACTCCTGCTTTTTATTTATTTATTTTTGCTCTCCATTTGGTTGGTGAGTTTTTTTTCCATCCCCTTGTTTTGAGTCTTTGTATATCTTTAGATATATCGTTAGATTTTGTGGATAATGTATATTTTGTGTGTTTAAAATGGAGCGCTCTATTGAGTTTATTTGTTCTGGATCTTAGTTCCAGTCCCAGATATCGTTATCAATTTTCTGTCTCGTTGAATCTAAATCTCATTATGGGTCTTATGTATCTGGGTGTTAAGATCTCTTATTATTACATTAATCCTTTTACCCTTGTATCCTTGTAGCTTTGAAATCTATTTTGTCAAATGTGAAAATTGCAACTCCTGCTTCTTATTTATTTATTTTTGCTCTCCATTTGGTTGGTACTTTTTTTTTTTCCAACCCTTTATTTTGAGTCTATGTATATCTTTGGATATATCGTTGGATTTTGTCTGTATCTTTTGATTGGGAGATTTGGTCGATTTAAATTTAGGGTTGCTGCCATTTGATATTAACTGGCTATTTTGTCCTTTCGTTGATAAAAATTCTTCTTTATGTTAATGCTCTTTACTTTTTGGTGTGTTTTTAGAAAGGGTCATACTGGTTGTTCCTTTCTGTGTATAATGCTTCTTTTAGAAGTTCTTGTAAAGCAGGCCTTGTGGTAATAAAATCTCTGAGTACTTGCTTGTTCCAAAAAGATTTTATTTTTCCTTCAAATGTAAAGCTTAAATTGGCAGGATATGAAAATCTGGGCTGAATGTTCTGTTGATTAAGTATATTGAATATTGGCCCCCACTCTCTTCTAGCTTGTAGGGTTTCCGTTGAGAGATCTGCTGTAAGCCTAATAGGCTTACCTTTATGGGTAACTTGATCTTTCTCTCTGGCTGCCCTTAATATTTTCTCCTTCGTTTCGATCTTGGTGAATCTAACGATTATGTGCCTTGGGGTTGGTCTTCTTGAGGAATATCTTTGTGGTGTTCTCTGTATTGCCTGGGGTTGAATAGTGTCCTGCTTTGCTAAATTAGGAAAATTTTCCTGGATAATGTCCTGGAGAGTATTTTTCAGCTTGAATTCATTCTCTCCATCACATTCAGGTACACCAATCAAGCGTATATTAGGTCTTTTCACATAGTCCCATATTGCTTGGAGACTTTGCTCATTCCTTTTTATCCTTTTTTCTCTATTCTTGTCTTGTCGTTTTGTTTCATTAAGTTGATCTTCGACCTCTGATACCCTTTCTTCTGCTTGATCCATTCGGCTGTTTAAGCTTGTACATATTTCACTAAGTTCTCGTGTTGTATTTTCCAACTCCATAAGTTCATTTGTATTCCTCTCTATATTGTCTATTCTTTTCAACATTTCATCTAACCTTTTTTCCAAGTTCTTAGTTTCTTTACATTGGGTTAGAACAAGTTCCTTTAACTCCCAGAAGTTTCTTATCATCCACCTTTTAAAGCCTACTTCAGATAATGGAACACAGTCCTTTTCCATCAGGGCTTGTTCCATTACTGATGAGTCCTTTTCCATCAGGGCTTGTTCCGTTGCTGATGGGTTCTGATTTTGAGTATACTCGGCCTTCTTAGGCTGTTTTTTCCCCTTCATTGTAGATGAACCGCCTTTCTAATTAGGTTTCTGAGTCGACGTCCGACTTATTGATCCCCAGTGCTGGGATCCGAGCAACCCACTGTGGCAGCCTAAATAGCAGTGATAAGACTGATGGTGCTCTTCTGCCTGGGAATCTCTGGTCTGGCTTCCCTCTTGAGTCTGCAACAAGCAGCTCTGACTTCCCGGAGCTCCAAACTCTGGTCAGTAGGGGAAGCAGTCCCGTTGGTTCTGCATGAAGAGCTGCTGTGCCGAGACGCCGGCAAAACCACTGCAGTGGCCACAAGAATCGCGCTGGCGACCTGTGGGGCTCCTCCACTGGGAATCGGCTGATCGGTGAGTGATGAAAATTCGTCTAAAAGTGTGGCGTCGTCTCGTTCTCTGGGCTTTCACTGGGAGCTACAATCCTGAGCTGTTAGTGGTCGGCCATCGACCTCAGCTTCTACAAGTGTCTCCCCTATTCAGTCCATTCTCACTATATGTGAATCCTGCCACCTCTCATTAGTTAAAAAATGGGGACTCAATGCCAAACACATAAATCACAGATAAACACAGTTACCTTTGTACTGGTCAAAGTTATATCTGAATGACAGGCAGTGAGCCTTGAAATGAAAATTATAAGCAAACTGTTTGTAAAAAAATTCAAAGAAATTATAAATACTAGTGGTAAGATGAAATCTAACATAGCTTTGCTGAAATTCACATCTGCCCCAAATTATGATTTATTAAAAAGTAAATGCCTTTAAAGAATTGAGAGGTCATAATGAGTAATTTGAAACTGAAATCCTCTCAGATTTAAGTCAAATTGATATGAATAAAAATAATATTATACCAACGTAAATAAGTTGCAAAACTACTGAAGGGAAAGTATTGTGGAAATATATACTGAAGTATAGTAGTATACTTCAGTTCACCTGGAAAATCTGGAATTAATGGTCAAAGTAACCCTCCTAACTGAATCTTAATTTCAAAATACCCATGTCAGGTATAAGCATTCTGTTTATCTGCTTCACCATGGTCTTCAAACATGGCCATATAAAAGCATTGCAATGATCATTTCAGCAGCGTAAGACAACACTATGAACATTAATCTGTACCTATTAACACTGTAACTGAGCTTACAATTTCATAGGTGACACAATTTCTTCACTCAAAGTATCAGTTTTAACAGCAAATACATTTAAGATCTATATATTTTTATATTCACCTAGATAAAACATTTAGCCATAATCAAATATTGCTTTAAATTTTCTTTTAGGAAGGTTGAAAAATATTTATCTTTCTTAATACTTACTTCCTCAGTCTCTTGTAGTAGAAGACTCTGCTTTTCACTCTCAAATTGAATATTACTGGCAAAAGCCTGAAACTGGTCATGGAGAGAACTGATTGTCTTTTCTTGTCTGTTCACTTTCTTGTGAGCATCACCCAGTTGCTGTCGAAGCAACGTATTTTCATTTTGTAATTGAAATAATCTCTCTTCTACAGATTCCTGCTTTGCAATGTATTTCTTCAGTTTTCTTTGTTGAATTTGGTGCATTTGTTCAATTTCTTTCTTCTGACAGTGTGTTTGGCCGAGGTCTCTTTGCACACGTTCCAAAATCAAATTCTGTTCTCCAACAGCATCTCTTGCATTATGGAGCTGAATTTGTAGGCTGTTGATTTCGTTTTCCACATTAGAAAGTTTTTCAGAAATAATCTCATTCCTAGCTCGTAGGTCAGACATATCAGCCTTCATTTTGTCCTGTAAGCCACAAAAATATTTATAAAAAGCAGAGGAGCAAGTAAACCACCCCTCTCAGCCTAAAATGCCTAGAGTTAGCTAAAGGAGACCCAGCATAGCCTCCTCCTTCCAAGATAAGGTACCCAAGCATATCTTTGTACCCACAGCTCACAAGCATATTTCTGCCAGAAAAAAGCCCAAAAAACAAAAAACCTGTTCTCTTCCCCAGCTACCAGCAGTGGGAGCAAGACAGCCATGGGAGCAAAATAACCACATATAAAATATACATATTCTCTGGAGGAGGGACTCAAGATGGCGCAGTGAGATCAACCCAGGATTGGAGCGCTCGGTGAATGCGCGAAGAGCTTGAGTCAGGGCCGCATTTCCAGACGGATTTTTGTTGCCCACAGAACGGGGAAATTCCCAGGTATAAAAGAGATGTAAGATGCCAGGCAGAGGTTTCGGCTGGTGCAGTCGGCAGCCAGTGCAGCCGGTGGCCAGCGCTGTAGCACAGCAGCGCTACACAGAGTTCCGCACAAAGCACAATGGTCGGGGTGCCCTGTTGAACTGGCAATCTGAGACTTGAGAGGGCTGAACTTGAGACTGAATGGGACTTGGACAGTGAGCCAGGCCAGGAGATTCCAGGGAAACAGCGTTTGGGGTAGCACAGGGAAACAAACAAAACAGCAATTCCAAACGCTCTGGGTGGAGAGGTTCCCTGAGGGCACAGCTGAACCCAGGATGGTGCAGCTCCATGGGGGAGGGGCATCCACCATTACCGAGGCAATCCACCCCTACTGAGGTACACGCCCATTGCTGATGCAGCCTGCCATTGCCGAGGGAACCTGCTACAACAGAAAGACTCTGCCGCAGGGCATAACTGGTGGCAGCAGGGCAAATACCGCAGCAGCAGAACAGAGCCTGCAGCAACAGGGCAAACCTCACACCAGTAGGGCAGAGCCTCGGCAGGCAAATAGTGACTAGACTGCCTCCTAGCTGGGCAGGACAGCACAATGGACACACACAAAGAAAGCCCCAACCCCCCAACACAGAGCATCTGAAAAAAAAAGGGGTTTTTTTTTATGAGTTCTGCTGCAGCAGAATTAAACGTAGCAGCCTAACAGCCCTGAATGAACAACAGAGCTCACAGCTCAGCACTTGAGCTCCTAAAAAGTACAGACTTTCTCCTCAAGCAGCTTCCTGACCCCTCTATATCCAAAAGACTGACATTTGGCAGGCATCATTCTGGGACAAAGATAGGAGAAAAAGAAACTGGTAGCATCCCTCACTGTTCCACAGCTGCTATAGGTGCACCCCAGACAAGCAGGGCCTGGAGTGGACCTCAGCAGTTGTACAGTGGAGAAGCTAGACTGGTAAAAGAAAAACCAAGTAACAGATATACTTCATCATCAACAATCTGGACATCCACTCAGAGACCTAATCGAAAAGTCAGCAACTACACAAATGACAGGCAGATAAATCCACAAAGATGGGAAGAAACCAGTGCAAAAAGGAGGAAAACACCGGAAACCAGAACACCTCGCCTCCTAGAAAAGACCAAAACTCCTCACCAGCAAGGGAACAAAGCTGGACGGAAAATGACTGTGATGAAATGACGGAATTAGACTTCAGAAGGTGGATAATGAGAAACTTTTGTGAGCTAAAAGAACATGTTTTAAATCAATGCAAAGAAACTAAGAACCTTAAAAAAAGATTTGAAAAAAGATTCAAGGAAATGATAACAAGAATGGATAACTTAAAGAGGAATATGAATGAATTAAAGAAGCTGAAAAACACAATACGAGAACTTTGTTAAGCATGAACAAGTTTCAACAGCCGAATTGACCATGCAGAAGAAAAAATATCAGAAGCCGAAGATCAACTCAATGAAATAAAATGAGTAACCAAGATCAGAGAAAAAAGCGCCAAAAGGAATGAACAAAGTCTCCAAGAAATGTAGGACTATGTGAAGAGACCTAACCTATGTTTGATAGGTGTATCAGAATGTGACAAAGAGAATGAATCCAAGCTGGAAAATACTCTTCAGGACATTATCCAGAAAAATAGCAAGACAGGCCAACACTAAAATGCAGGAAATACAGAGCACACCACAAAGATATTCTGCAATAACAGCAACCCCAAGGCATATAATTGTCAGATTTAACAAGGCTGAAATAATGGAGAAAATACTAAGGGAAGCCAGAGAAAAAGGTCGGGTCACCCACAAAGGACAGCCCATCAGACTCACAGCAGATCTCTCGGCAGAAACACTACAAGCCAGAAGAGAGTGGGGGCCAATATTCAACATCCTTAAAGAAAAGAACTTTCAACCCAGAATTTCATATCCAGCCAAAGTGAGCTTCAGAAGAGAAGGAAAAATAAAATCCTTTGTGCACAAGCAAGTACTCAGAGATTTTGTCACCACGAGGGCTGCTTTACAAGAGCTCCTGAAAGAGACACTACACATAGAAAGGAACAACCAGTACCAGCCATTAGAAAATCACACTAAATGCTAAAGAGCATCCACATAATAAAGAATCTACAACAACTAATGGGCAAAACAGCCAGCTAGCATCAAAATGGCAGTATCAAATTCACACATAACAATATTAACACTAAATGTAAATGGACTAAACGCACCAATCAAAAGACACAGACTGGCAAATTGGATAAAAATCCAAAACCCATCAGTGTACTGTATCCAAGAAACTCATCCCACATGCAAAAATTCACAAAGGCTCAAAATGAAAAGATGGAGGAAGATTTACCAAGCAAATGGAGAGCAAAAAAAAGCGAAAGTTGCAATTCTCATCTCTGATAAAATTAACTTTAAAGCAAAAAAGATCAAAAGAGACAAAGAAGGCCATTACATAATGGTAAAAGGATCGATACAACAAGAAGAGCTAACGATCCTAAATATATATGGACCCAATACAGGAGCACCCAGATATATAAGGCAAGTTCTTAATGACTTACAAAGAGACTTAGACTCCCACACGATAATAGTGGGAGACTTTAACACCCCACTGTCAATATTAGACAGATCAACCAGACAGAAAATCAACAAGGAAATCCAGGGCTTGAACTCAGACCTGGAGCAAGCAAACCTGATAGACATTTACAGAACTCTCCACCCCAAATCCACAGAATATACATTCTTCTCAGCACCACATCACACCTACTCTAAAATTGACCACATAATTGGAAGTAAAGCACTGCTCAGCAAATGCAAAACAACTGAAATCATAACAAACAGCCTCTCAGACCATAGTGCAATCAAGTTATAACTCACAATTCAGAAACAGACCCAGAACCACACAGCTTCATGGAAACTGAACAACTGGCTCTTGAATGTTGACTGGGTAAACAATGAAATGAAGGCAGAAATAAAGAAGTTCTTCGAAACCAATGAGAACGAAGACACAACGTGCCAGAACCTCTGGGACACATTTAAAGCAGTCTCTAGAGGAAAGTATATAGCAATAAGTGCCCATATGAGGAGAATGGAGAGATCCAAAATTGACACCCTATCGTCAAAATTGAAAGAGCTAGAGGAGCAAGATTAAAAAAAAAACTCAAAACCCAGCAGAAGACAAGAAATAACTAAGATCAGAGCTCAACTGAAGGAGATTGAGACACGAAAAACCCTTCAAAAAATCAATAAATCCAAGAGCTGGTTTTTTGAAAAGATCAACAAAACAGAGAGGCCACTAGCCAGATTGATTATAAAGAAAAGAGAGAACAACCAAATAGATGCAATAAAAAATGAAAATGGGGGAATCACCACAGATTCCACAGCAATTCAAACCATCATTAGAGAATATTACAAACAACTCTATGCACATAAACTAATAAACATGGAATAAATGGATAAATTCCTGGACTCCTGTGTCCTCCCAAGCCTAAACCAGGAGGAAGCCAAAACTATGAATAGACCAATAACAAGGTCAAAAGTCGAGGCAGCAATTAAGAGCCTACCACACAAAAAAAGCCCAGGTCCAGATGGGTTCACAGCCAAATTCTACCAGACACACAAAGAGGAGCTGGTACCATTCCTTCTGAAACTATTTCATATAATCCAAAAGGAGGGAATCCTACCCCAATCATTTTATGAGACCAACATCATCCTGATACCAAAACCTGGCAGAGACCCAACAAGAAAAGAAAACTTCAGGCCAATATCCATGATGAACATAGATGCAAAAGTTTTCAATAAAATATTGGCAAGCCGATTGCAACAGCAAATCAAAAAACTTATGCATCATGATCAAGTAGGATTTATCCCGGGGATGCAAGGCTGATTCAACATACGCAAGTCTATAAACGTAATTCACCACATAAACAGAACAAAAACAAAAACCACATGATTATCTCAATTGATGCAGAGAGGCATTTGACAAAATTCAACAGCCCTTTATGCTAAAAACCCTCAATAAACTCGGTATCGATGGAACGTATCTCAAAGTAATAAAAGCTATTTATGACAAACCAACAGCCAATATCATACTGAATGGGCAAAAACTGGAAGCATTCCCTTTGAAATCCAGCACTAGACAAGGATGCCCTCTTTCACCACTCCTATTCAATATAGTACTGGAAGTTCTAGCCAGAGCAATCAGGCAAAAAAAAATAAAATAAAGTAAAGGGTATTCAAATAGGAGAGGTGGAAGCCAAATTGTCTCTATTTGCAGACGACATCATAGTATACCTAGAAGACCCCATTGCCTCACCCCAAAAACTCCTGAAACTGATAAGCAACTTCAGCAAAGTCTCAGGATATAAAATCAATGTGCAAAAATCACAAGCAGTCCTATACACCAATAACAGACTTAAAGAGAGCCAAATCAAGAACGAACTGCCATTCACAATTGCTACAAAAAGAATAAAATACCTAGGAATACAACTTACAAAGAACGTAAGGGACCTCTTCAAGGAAAACTACAAACCACTGCTCAACGAAATAAGAGAGGATACAAACAGATGGAGAAACATTCCATGTTCATGGTTAGGAAGAATTAATA